GCCGTGCGTCTGTTCAGCAATAGATCACAGAGGACGTCAAAATGTGGTAAGAACGTGAGTGAAATACTCGGCTACGCCTCGTGTGCCACTTTTTTGTTCTTATCACATTTGAATTTCAATTTGATCATCTGTGATCTATAACTGAACAGATGCACGGCAACTTGGAATCTATTTGTTAATTGGTTGTCACGTTTTAAAACTTTAGCTGTACATTAGACTTGGAGAAGGACAAATTAATGAATGATCGACCAATTGATTGACAGATTGATTGATTGATCTTCTCTGTCCCAACACCCCATCGTCCTTAATCTGCGTGTCTCTCTTAAATTAAAGTGTCATGAATTGTTGTGAAACGACAAATAACATTTTCGTGGAAATTCCTGACACTTACTTGCTTTAATCAACAGATATGGAAAGGGTTTTAACCAGACATGAAGAAAAACCTCACGAGTTTCACAAAACCCAGCTTTCAATTAAAGCTTACCGAGAGTTTCTAGAAGACGAAGACGTTGATGGAGCAGAGGATTCTGGTGACTTAGGAGCACCCACAACCGAGGCCAATGAATCTCGAGTGAGCCAGACACCCGATGCTAAAGCCCAACAGCTGCACATAGCTGTAGATCCCGATGTTATGGAATACGTCACATCCACAGGATTCCAAGCTGAACTGAACAATTCGCTGGCTGGAAAGAAGAGCGAAATCACCTGGAAACCCAACAACAAAATGGCTGTAATAGTGTACCGTGGGGAAGATGACAGTGATTCATGGCAATCTGAATGCATTGACCAAGTACAAAATTACCTCGGCAAGTTTGCGAAGTGCGATGTGCAGGTCAACAAGGATTTCTGGGAAGCCGTTGTAGCAAAAGTTCCCAGCATTCGCACCTGCTTAGGAGTTGATCCCCCGCTGATCAAGACTATTCCTGATTCAAATATTGCTAGGATCATTTCATTAGAAGTAGATGTGAAAAGTAACGAGGAAAAGGTGAAGTCAAAGTTGGAAGAAATCTACCGCGAGGAGACCAGAAAAACTTACCTGAAGAAGACAATTCCAAATGTTCCTGAGGAGCGCCTAATTTTGCTGAAGAAGATAAAATTTGCCGAGAAACTCCAAGAAA